CGCACGATTGTAAGAATACATCTACGACGACAATCGTACCGCAGACATCGCAATTATCATTGTTCACCGAACGATGAAGGAAAGCGGAGAGGAACGGAGGACAGATTGACGCTGCGAATGTCGCATTTCTACGATCTCTGGGATTCGTCGTGAGAAATGAGTCGCGATATTCTACATATAGGAAGTGAACCCATCTTCGACGACCGTATCGTTAAGATCGAGACTCACACTTACAACCTATACACTAACACCACATTCGGATACAGCGATGAAATACGAATACCTATACAACACCAAGATCTGTACACGTTACCGTGTGAGAGTTTTCTCTCGTCGAGAGAAAATTTTCAGCGAAGAAAGCTGGAGACAAATCCGAACAACCAAAACTGTCGAACAATTGCGTCGCGTTCATGTTCGATGAGATTCGATACGAGATAGACGGTGTGGAAATCGATAGATGTAGAAACGTTGGTGTTATCAGTACGATAAAAAATTTCGTATCGTTAACCACCAGCAAGAGTATAACGTTAGAAAATGCAGGATGGGACGCCACAATGCACTTCTTTCGCACATCGGTGACCGATGATTTCAACTTTTGCGTACCGCTCAATACACTCCTAGGATTTTGCGAGGATTACAAACGCATAGTAATAAACGCGCGACACGAACTTATCCTGATACGTGCGCATAACGATAACAATTGCGTCGTGGCGCAGGCATCGGCTAAAATCACTCTATCGAAGATACAATGGAAAATGCCACATGTAGTGCTAAACGATGTCAATAAATTATCACTTTTGCGAACGTTGGAAGGTGGACGATATCTCAGCATGTGTTTCCGGTCGTGGGACCTGTACGAATTTCCTTTGCTTCAAAGTACAACGAAGCATTCGTGGGCTGTTAAAAGAACATCGCAATTGGAAAAACCGCGATACGTAATTTTTGCGCTTCAAACCGGAAAAAAAACGAACCGTCGCAAAATGTTTCCCAATTCGACGTGTGTAATCTCACTAATGTGAAACTTTTTTTAAATTCTGATTTTTATCCTTACGACGATGTGAATTTAAATTTCGAACGCAAGAAATGCTGTACTCTACGATATGTATGTAAAATTTCAAAAGACGTACTACGGTAACGACAATCGCGATGCCATGTTATCTATCGGGGAATTTCTTTTACACGGCCCATTCGTAGTGATCGATTGTTCTCGTCAAAACGAATC